GTTCGTGTGCGTATGTTCGTGCATGCGTCCCCTTGCGTGTCCCCTCGGTTGTGTGCGTCATACGTCTCGTTTTCTAACCCGATAGTGTGTGTATATGTGTGTATGTTCGTGTTCGAGACATCACAGTGCACATGCTAATACACCTACCTGTTCCATCATCTATTGATCGTGGGAGGTTATTTTTAAATCTCAACACAGTCTATTCGCATCGATTGATCGATATCACTGACCTTGCCATATATTCTATTTAGTTCCGTTTGTACGATTGCAGTCCATTCCTTTTTCTATGGCTCTTTGTATTGGTGTTTTTGTGGGGTTATCATTGCATTCATTCAAACCGAAGTAACTGTGCCTTCCCTCCGTATTTTATTTTTTCCGGTTTCCGACCCTAAATCCCTTCTTAGCGATAGTCTGATTGTCCCTAGGTTTCATAGTGAGAGACATTATTTTCCCGATGCCATTGTATTTCTTGTTTGTCAGCATTTAGGTGTCAGATCGATTATTATTTGATGATGTGCTTCGTATGCTTGGAGAGTCTGATGAGATCTGTGCCCATTCGCTGTAAGTTTTCTGCATGTATGCGTGTGCTTCGTTCTGCCCGAACCTACTCCCATGATCACTTAGAAGAATAGCATCGTTCCACATTTCGCTTCTGTTTTAAGAATATCCGATACTACTACCGCGCTCCATTCATGGAAAGAATGCTTTAGATCGTCGTTATGTGAACGTGTACGTCATGTCTGCTCTAGATCCTTGCTCCACATGTGCATCACAATCCCCGTTTGCCTCTGAACATTGTTCTGATTTGGTCTCCGCTAACTTTGGCTAAACGACGATGACCGAATCGGTGCTCTTGAGGACCGTTTTTTCTTCTTCACCGGATTGTTTTTTTCGCTGTCTTCCTAATCCATTCTTTACCACATGCACGCCTTTCGGTGCACCCAGTTTACCTCTCGCATGCTTATAACTAACAACGCGTTATATTTCGTCTAATCCAGTTAATATATTGGTAATTTTTGTGCCCTCGAATTATGAAAAGATCACAAATCTTGGTGGAATCCGAACCTACTTATGAGCCACATCCTAGCCTTCTGCAAGGCCACTCTGTCGTGAATACCCTTTTTCGACCTTTGAGGTTCCCGGCGTTCCCTCTCTCTCTCTCTCGCACACAATGGGTATACATTGAAAAAAATAAGATTGGCATAATATTCATTTGTTTATTCTGGTTACGTTTTGCACGATTTGTACACTCGACAATGGCGTACCGAGTTTGGTTGTGATGCTGAATGCACACATTATCTCGGTTGTGGGATAAGGTCATTTCTGTTGATCTGTTGATCATCATCGTGTCAATAAAACAGTGCTCCCCATTAAGTAATGTTTATAAACGAGTTTGGGTAATACGATCCTAATGGAATGTTTTCTCCAGCGTAATCTGGTTTATTTTTTTTTGACCACGGGATTTGGTCCTGTTCGCCAGAAAAGTTCAGCTCATCAATAATCATTTCCAGTCAGGAGGTATCTTAGTCCATGCACCTTCCAGACTCACTTGCCGTGTTACAGTCGGCTTGTGCGAAATTCACACTTATGTGCCGCAAGATATGGAAGAGATTTCTCCAGGCAACACAGACCTTTGGATTGTCGTTCGACTGACGGAATACACTTTTGAGTTCAAAATGCGTTAGCAATACCTAATGCATTGGTGGTGCCTAGAACGTTCCTGTTACTATGTTACCTGTCTTGTTAGTCGTGCGATAGTCAGTTTAAGTCATTTTTATCTAAATTTGTTTATATATACATATATATATACCTTGTAATGATGACCTGAATGAAAGCTGAAAATCAGTTAGATTCATTGCTTTTTTTACAGTTCTTTTTTGTTACATACAGCACACGGGGTAAATCGTTTAGTCGTGAAGATCTGTTCTGTGATGGAAAGTGGCAATCTAAGCCCCGGTACTGGGAGTGGCGAAACACAAAAGGCCCCACATTTCAGGTGTGGTATTGAGTCGAACTACAGCAGAGCTACCTACCACCAAAATTAGGTGGTGCTGGAGAGGTCCGATCCTCGTGACAGTGACAGCGATTAAACCGCTGCGCCATCACCGCTAACTTATTTGCTCCCCCATAGATTACGTTGGCTGGAGGCATATGTTACGCATGTCAATAAATGGGTTTACACGGCGTGCGATGTTTGCCGAGGTAGGTAGTGGGTAGAAATATACCAAGGGTGGTCCAAATTAGACCTGGCGCGAGATTGTGAGAGCCCTGATTAAAAGGCTCGGTCATGTAGGTCGCGTTAGGTTCCTTGGATGGGGACCACAAGATCTCGGTAACCGGGGCTTAGATACACTGAGCGATATGCCTGAATGTCCTAAACAATGACATTCATGTATCTTCTCAATTTCCTTGCATCCTTAGTCCATTGAAATTCTCCATTTTCTCTTCGACTCTACTTTCAACTTTCCTGTCTTTGTCACACTGCTTCGTCCAAATTGGCAGCCGAAAGACAGCAATCAAAACCCGCGCACGAAAGTGTATGGCCGTACAAAGTAAAACTTTAACTCGCACTAATAATGCAAAATGTGATGGTTTGATTATTTGCTTGTGCCCGGTCATTGGTCGGATTTCTGGGAGCATGCCCCGTGCTCAGCTTTTATTCAGTAATAATAATCGATCTATGGGCATAGCAACCGAATGAAATGGTACTCCGGTGCTTTCCCATTGTTAGTTTCCGCAATAAAATTTTGTTCCACACATTTGTATGGTACCCAACAGACGGGCTTAAGCGCCTTTGTCACGAGAATCTGCTTTCTACTCGGGGTAACCTGCAACCTGATCGTCTAATTTTTGAGTGGCGATCCACAATTCCGGTATCTCCCAGCACATCCGACGTTTCTCAGCGATTGTGACAAATGCATTGTGCCATGAAACTGATTTCAAAGACGGCTTTGAATACGCGAATACACACTTCAACAAATGGAAGGGTTATGAAGACTGAGCTGAGTGATTGTTCAAGCATGGATGTGAAAATTGTCAAATCCTGAATTATTTATTTCCATGATCTCATCACCGTATAATTGTTCTTATTATTTATTTCCCTACCCGTTTCGCATTCTAACAGCTCGGAGACGAACTATGGGTAGTAATGGAGTATTTGGATGGCGGCTCGCTCACCGATATCCTAACCGAGACATGCATGTCTGAAGCCCACATAGCCACCGTTTGTCGAGAGGTATGTAAGCGTTTATGTTCCTTGTTAATCAATGTTCTATGCTCGATCACTACGTATACTGATTACGCAAGAGTGGTACGCTATACACAGATGAGCAGAAAGAATATTCAACTTGGGGTCCACTTGGTACAGTTTACATTTTACTCGAATGAATATTGTGACACGCAAAAAATGTAGAAAGAAGGAGTAGAATGTTTATAACTGTTGGCGTTCGAGAGTTTGAGTGGACCCCCCGCCCCCGCAAATGTCTTTCCCCCTGGCTTGTGCAATAAACGGATGATAAATGAAACATATACAAAAGCTATAGTATCCGTCGGCATGTCATCATCTCCCGAGCAGAATAACATGGGATTGTGTCTGTTCCCAACTGTCACATTATCCACCCCGATCTAAATTACTTTGGAACCCCTGCCTGTACGGAGACGCCTGTCAAACGCTAATTACAGCTTACGATCGCCGTAGCACCAAGAAACCCCATCCCCTGTGTTATCGGAGAATACTGCAAAATTGTTTCATTGGACCATGAGTGAATCGTCGACGGACATGACCAGTTTTGCAACTCTACTTTTCTCTTGCTTCATGCGAAATGGGTTGGCTAGCTATTCCCCATTGGTTTATATCTCTCCTACACCAATCACCTCTACAGTTACTTATATGTCTACCGGTCACCGATGCGAATGCCTATTAAAGCCAATTGTGTATGTAGTAGCTGCCACTATTGTCCGCCAAACCCGGCTTTAATTTGTTTTGACAACCGCCATGTGACTTCTGGTCCAGAGTTCCAGAGTTTGTCACTACTCGTCTTATGTTCGTGGGATGATATGTGAAGTATGTTTTGTACTTTTGACTGATCACATAAAAAAACGATTGATCTTCCCAACTTCGGCAGCCCTGCTGGACGCTCTCAAAGCCATTCTTTCTGATTGAAAATACGACAAAGCGCGCAAATCCCTTAACCGCCAGCGCATAAAGAGTCTGAGGAGTTCCAATTCGCCTGTTCGCCGAGCGCGGCAATTTGTTTGCAAACGTTTCATCACCAGCCGAGGTGACATCATCAGTGCTTGTGAAGAGTTTGATGCAGTTCTTCCAGTCGTTTCAATGTGGTATTGATTTTATTTTCCAGTTTTGCGGTGGGATCCGTGTCAATTCTGCGGTAGGTGTCTGTGTCTTGGAGCAGTTGTCTAGCCTTTTGAATGTAGTCAGTTTTGTCCTTAACCACGGTAATTCATCCTTTATCTGCTGGTAGGATGACNTTTCGCATCAGGGCTGGGACGACTGTTTGTCGGATGGTTTGTTTCGCATCTTCAGGTATCGTGGACGATTTAAGAGTTTGTTCCAGTTCCGCCAAATATTCCTTGTTTGTGGCATTTCTGACGTTGAAGTTGGGTCCTTTATTGAGGATTCGTTTTTCATCCTGTGTGATCACGCGTTTGGAGAGATTGCGGACCCAGTTTTCATTTTCATCGATTGGCACATGATCATCCAACTTGTGGAGCTTTCTTGAGAGCGCCAGTTTTCTTTTTC